TCTTGGACAAAGTATCATACAAGACGCATTAATCACGCGGCAGTAAAACGTCATTGTTATATTGACTTAATACATTTCTTTATACTATAAATTTTTAAATACGCAGTCGTTCATATGTTTTAGAACAAAACAACACAAATTTTTACATTCATATTTTTTTAGCTTACGTATGTTAATGTTGATATTTTCGTTACTCTCATATTAAAAATGACTATCGGCATATTAATGTATGTATGTCGAACACTGCGTGAAATTGTAGCATACAATTACACGTAAATTGTCTGTTATGTACATGCCTACGTCAAAAAGTGTTTACGAATTCATTGCAACACAATTATACCTAATATGCATATGAAGCAGGGTGTTAACGATTAACACCCTTAAAATCAACATTTAATGGTCACGCATCGAGGTGTCAATTTGTGACGTTCATGATCAGACTAATTTCCTACAGGTAATATATGTAAGCAATTCTTGTTTAAATTCACTATAGTAAGAACATACATATTAACTATATATAATTAAATTCTCTGAAACGGCCCTAACGATTTAGGTGTAACTTTTTATTTAAATAATTTTTAAAATTCAAATTTTATCTGGGTACCTATGTGTTATCTCTGAGTTTTTTTTTCTAACACCGAGCAAGGATCGGTTACCCGGATATTAAAATTAATGTAAGCCACTGCTAGACTGATATTATAGAAAATATTAACAATGGATTGGTATATATATACATTGACGCGTTGAATTTGCTCATTGTAATAATGTAAATAAATAAATGCATATACAGGCTAGAATAGATAAATTCGATTATAGACTAATGTATTTTTTCCCTTGAATAAAATAATATATGTAATAACATAAAAGCAAATGGCGTAATTGATTTATATTAAATTTCTGAAGCTATTATTTAATTATTTTGGTAATCAAGTAAAATTTTTCTGTGAACTAGGTTAAGTTAGCTTTTCTTATAGTCAAACCTATTAACATTTAACACTTACCTAACTTGTACAAGGAGAATTATAAAACAAGCTTTTTAATCAATCTGATTTTTTTCAGTTCCAATATCAATTTATTCAATAGCTCTTTTGAAGTTTAACATTGACCTGCTCACCTGAGATTATTTGAATCTAACTAGAACAGCCTAATAGTAGATTGAACTTAAATATGACACTTTTAAACAACTTTTTTTATGATACAAAATACAGGGCAAAAGCATGCTGTATTGGCACATTTTTACTCCACTGTAAGCACTTCGTTAATTTAGTTTAGAACAATCAAATTCAAGATAAAGACATGAATTTACTTATATCAAAATTCCACTTTCGTTAGTGGTGTGATAATCCTATGCTATTCGATGAAAGGAGGTGCATTTTTTCACGGTGTCGCCTTAAAGATTAAACGCCGGCCTTGTAGTACCTATACGTATTTCAGAGAGGCTACCGTTTTATCCAAATTTCAAATATTGAACCCGCTGTGTCGACCTTGGCATCGAAATATTTGCGATAAATATGAGTAGGTAGAAGATAAAGTCTAGCCTAATGTCTGATATATTAATGACGTAGAAAATACAACTTTCCATCTCTACATAAATAACTCATTTTTACAAATAACTCGTAAAGGGTAAAATCCTGGTTAAACCAATTTGTTAGTTTCCAATTTATCTATAGAAAATGGCAATTTTAAACGAATATTACGATACCCACGGGGTGAATTGGTGTAATGAGGTTAAAAGTCAGAGAGCATTAGTCACGTTTGCTGATGACGCGTTTAATTATAACTAGAACCATCCAGCTGAAAGCGCAACAGCACACAGATGCAGATAAATGTGATTTATGTTAACTCATACCATACTATTAAATAGTGTCATTTTTTAATAGTATTGGGGTGACGAGCTCACAGTCCACCTGATGGTAAGTGGATGCTGTGGCTCATAGACATCTGCATTTGTCTCAAGTAATATTCAAAATGCAGATGCGTGGTCGGTTACCCCTGAGGACTATGATGGTATGCCTCGTTTCCAGTAAAAAGGAATTCGGGTTCTCTACACTCACCATACGAAACACAGCACCAATATGCTGTTATTTTATTTATTATATTTGGGTTTGCTCTGTTCGAACCGACCCATTCTTAGGTACTACAACCATAATATAGTTACAGCGTGGCTCTACCTAGTAAAATATTACCTAATTAATGTTTGCCTGTGTTTTACCGAATTTTAGCTATGAAATTTAGAAAATAGTAAATCAAAAATAAGCTAGAAACTGAAGAAACCCTTACCACTCTAAACTTTTTTTTTAGTTTTTAAGAAAAGTCTAAAAAGGCTGGAAGGAATATTAATTTGTGAGTTATAAAGACACACTTTGACCCAGTTGTGTAAAATAAAATCAGCATAACTGTTATCTGTCTCGTCAAAAGTGTCACAAGTGTTCTATAAAGTTATCGTTGCAACTATTGAAACCACAAAGTAAAATTTAAAATTATTTATTCCTTTCATTTTTATTCTCATAAGCATTCGAATGTTACTTTCTAATGAATTCGCGCTTACTTTTTAAATGTAGATCCAATTAGTTTTGCAAATAAGCACTCTCGACGTAAGTAAGTCGCTTTCTGGTTTGCACACACTTTCTTGACGCCAAAATATGTATTGGTAATGAAATTAAAATATTTAATTTAGTATAGTCACACTTTCCTTGCCTGGTTTTCTTTTACATATAAAATACAAGAATATTAGGTATATATGTGTTATATAAGTGTTTGGTACTTATATAATAGTGACAGAAAATGATTAGAACTACTTTTACGGATTTTATCGCGTTTAATTTAAATTATTTTTAGTTCCCGACATTTGGAGTGGTATGGTATCCAGCACCCATGGTCACGGGGGACTGAGGTGACTGACGTCCCGATGTCATTGTTAATGTGATGATGATCAATGTGTAGTGGATCAATGTGTAGTGTTCACGTAAAGATAAGAAATCATTAGCTACTATAAAGTTTATTTTATAAATCTATATCTATACAAATAAATAAAATTGAAGTGTCTGTTTAAAATAACAGCTTTTTACTAAATCCATCATCATCATCATCATTACAGCCCTTCACAAGTCCACTGCTGAACATAGGCCTCCCCCAAGATATGCCACAAAGCATATATGCTTTGTGGCATATATGCTTTGTGGTATACTAAATCCATATGAAAGTATAAATATACAAATGCTTAGCTCGTGTATTAGTAGTCTATTAAAAGTTTAGCTCGTGTATTAGTAGTCTATTATTAGTCAATGTCACATTTTTAAAGCATCCACCAACGTTACGCTCAGACTTATATTTATTATTATTATATTAACTGGCTATAAATAAGACCATACGCGAATATATTTACTGCGCCTCTATAACGTAAAGACAACATACTTGCATTTAAACATTAGACGCATTGTTTCACATTCGTAATCATACAAATTAATATAATGATGATCCACATTAGAGAATTACAAGCGAATATCTTATAATGACATGTAAGAGAAACAATCCTTTTGGTAAATTTAAATGTGCGTGTCAAATGCCTTTAGCACTCATGTTATACCTACGTCAATTTTTTAAAGTATTTTAAATACACACAAGTTTTCACAAATAACTTTATTCCTACCTATCAATGCGCTGAAAACTGCATAGCTGCGTTGTGTTTTGCTGCACTCAAACTAAAGGCAAAAGCATTTTGATATGCCATTATCCAACCGTTATGCAGTATTAAATATCATAATGGTTTGTAAATGCCAATATAATACCAGCGTGAAATAGTAGCTCAATGCTGCTGTGTTTTGTATGGTGAGTGTAGAGAACCGGAGACCCTTTTTACTGGAAGCGAGGCATTCCATCTTAGTCAATCAATGATTTAAATAGAACAAACACAAAATTTTAAACCAAGCTTATAACGCTGTCAACGTCCAAATTGGATTGGATTGTGGAGATTAGCGTGTGCATACGCACAAACAGATAAAAAATCTGTTAACGTTTTTATTATATGTATACATTTAGAATTTATCTGTCTATTCTAGTGGATTAAAGTAAAAAGCTTAAGATCATAAAATTTTATTCAACATTTTTACAGCCTATCAAATTCAATCATTGAAAATAGGCATGTCTCAAAGATTGTCTCATAAGGGCATATTTGCTGTAAATCTAACTTTCGACAGGAAGATGCTGTTGCCCTTTTTCTGTTTTAATTTATTTTAAGTTACCTATCATTCAACCTGCACGTTCAATGATAGTAAATAGATTATGATAGTAAATTAGTGTTACGTTCCAACAATCACTTTAATGTTTGTTACTGCGATCGTAACAAGGCTAATGCTGATAACGACGTTTACGATTAATCACTTGAATAACTAACTAATTTCAAGAACGAACTACGAACTATCCGGAGTATAATCATTCATGCAATTTTAATTAATTATAGAACAATCAATGCAGACCAGAGAATCTACTTGTACTAGGATATAGGAAGTGATATTCTTTCTACCTATCTATACAACCTAAGGCAGCAACCTAAATGCTTCCGCATCTTTGTCTGCTTGTGTTTACTTTATTATATAAAAGAATTGCGCATCACGCATTGTAAAAACTTAATAACAAATAAATAATTAACTAACACAAAACAAATCTATTTAATCGACGGTTGCCAGATTTACGGCACATTTTTTAAATTGTTTTATTTATTTTAAAGTATAGACAGAAACATAAATATATGTATAAGCAGAAACAAGTCTAGACAGCAGAAGAAATTCTATTTCTTCTATTATTTAGGGTCCTTTTATTAGTTCTTTAGAATACATTGTCACTGTTATGTTAGAATCTAATTAATCTAAATATTTTAATCAAATATTTTGTTTTATGTCTACCTATTTTTAATAAATTTGTTCACCGCAGTGGTGTCGAGTAAGACATATATTGTAATATTTTATGTGTCTGAGATTAAACGTTAAACTGTTCCCTTCTAGTATTTGGACATCGGAGAGGACATGAATATCCCTGATGATTTTACACAAAGTGAACTTCAGACTGGAAAGTGGTGGAGGCACTTACTAGCCGGAGGCATCGCCGGCGCCGTCAGTCGGACTTGCACCGCACCGCTGGACCGACTAAAAGTATTTCTACAGGTAATATAGTTTTATAATTATGAATATTATAAAGAGCTTTATCACTTATGTCAGTGCTTGAATACTATCCCATCTTGACTGCCCAGTTTGTCTAGTGGTTGTGCGACTGCTGATAATGAGGTCCTGGGTTCAAATCCCGGGTTGGGCCAAAAAAATAATTATTGAGTTTTTCCGTTAAGAAATTCTCAGTAGTTGCCCGGGGTCAGGAAGTTGGCGGTGTCTCACCCCCGTGCCTCGAAAAGCACGTAAAGCCGTTGGTCCTGCTCCTGATCTCTCTCCGGTCGTGTCGGTTTACCGTCCCATCGGATTATGAGAGTGAGGGAATAGAGAGTGCACCTGTGCTTGCGCATACACTTGGGCACTATAATCCTGTCCTGCGCCGATGGCTAGTCTCCGTCGAGGCAGGCCGCCGTGGACAGAATTCGGTCTGGAGGACATTATTATTATTATTATTATTACTATCCCATCTGATAGTAAGTGGTGATGTAGATGAAGATGGCTAAGCGCAATAACGTAGCCTTTGACACACTGTTGTCGTTACAGCCTGTTAAAATTCACTGCTGAACGTAGCCCTCCTTGGTTGCCTCATATGGGAGATAGTTGACGGGTTGGCAACCGCAGTTTTATTTTTATTTTTTGTCCTTATTATGTTGCTGTGAATCTCATGATTCGTTTCCTTCTGTCGCCTCTAGTGACACGTACGGGATGATATGGGGGTAGTGGATATTATTACACCACCACTACGCGTTAAGACACTGTATTCAGATTGAAAGACTGAGGCTGGTAAATTATTCCACTCCTTAACTGGCACATATTACGAACGACGAAACAAACTGTTCAGATCGAATGTGTGGTGTGTCAATATCAAAGCCACACTGAGACCGTCTGTTTGTCGTCTGGTATTAATATATACGGTTTCTTTACACTTTTTCAGGTCAATCCAACGAGAGAACATATGGCCAAATGTTTAGCAAGAATGATAAGCGAAGGTGGCATAACTGGTCTATGGCGAGGCAACGGTATAAATGTAATTAAAATAGCTCCGGAGTCTGCACTAAAGTTTGCGGCATATGAACAAGTGAAACGTTTAATAAAAGGGGAAAAGAAGAATCATCCGTTGGAGATACACGAACGGTTCGTCGCCGGTGCGACAGCCGGAGCGATTAGTCAAACTGTGATCTACCCACTAGAGGTGCTAAAGACAAGATTAGCTTTAAGGAAAACTGGACAGTATAAAGGCATCGTGGATGCCGCGAAAAAGATATATGCAAGGGAGGGACTGAAGTGTTTCTACAAAGGTTACATTCCAAATATACTGGGGATCGTGCCGTATGCTGGCATCGACCTCGCTGTTTACGAGACTCTTAAGAAGAAATACATTAGCAAATACCAAGCACATAATGAACAGCCAGGCATGCTTTTACTGCTCGCGTGTGGAAGTACGTCATGTACTCTTGGACAAGTGTGCTCTTATCCACTAGCCCTCGTGCGGACCAGGTTGCAGGCGCAAGGTAATTTTATTATTATTATTTTTTAAATAAGTCTTGTTACCTTAAGATAAGGCCTTCCTTATAGGCTGTAATAGCCTTATGATGATAAGGAAGGCCTTATCTTATCCAAGTTTTATCAAAGTGAATAGTGAAGATCCGTATAATTAATATCCTCGTGAGCTCTGGTGTGAATCGTTTGCCGGAAGGAATTAATCATCAGCATCTGCGCTATTTTTCTTTCATTATGACAATATTGTGTAACCTAAAATAAGATATCAATATGTACTATAGTTGTTACCCAGCGGTCACAATTCTACCCTATATCATGAAATTTTTATGTTTGTGTATAAAATATAAAACGCAGATATCTTATATACGAAATATAAAATAAGCGCATTTTTGCCGTGACATCCACTTAGGCTTTTGAAAAAGGAACATTTGAAATCACGCAAAACTCGCATCTCATTCATTCAATCTGTAAGTTTTTATTTAAAATTCTTTGGCGATAATGACGGCATCCATGATTTTTTCCAGGCAGTGCCACTTAAAAAAGGATATTTTACAGATTTCGTAGTAAGGGAGTTAATTTGTTAGAAAAATGTTAAGGTTAATGTATTTTTCCGTACTATTAGTTATATTTTACATTAATCAGATTAAAAATAAAAAACTAAACCACAGATATTCATTGTATGTATGTAGTATGTGTAACAAATTTTATTATTCACAATACATAATAATATAATAAAATTTATTATTTTCTCTCACCAATTTAGAAACTAACATAAACACACAACTTATATACTGCAAACAATTTATGAGAGACTGGTGTCTATACCAGTGTTCCCTGTCTATTTTCCCTGTAAAATAAAACTAGCACAATCAAAAATCACAAATTTAATTATAATGTTTTTTTTTTAAATATTATAACATAACAAACACTCACGCCTGTCACCCAGAGGAGTAGGCAGAGACTACGCACTTCCATTTGGCACGATCCTGACATACCTCTTTTGCCTCCTTTACATCCATATATCTACGCGTACATGTTTTTCGGTTAAGGGTACTTCTAATGTGGCCCATTTTCAAAATATCGCCAATTTGGTCGACAAACTTTCTTCTAGGGCGTCCTTTCCCGACTCTGCCGTTCATATCTGCCATATAAATTTGCTTTGTCACTTTTTTCTTCATTCATTCTTTCTACATGACCAAACCACCGAGGCATTCCTTTATTAATCCTGGTCACAACATCATCTTGCATACCACATTTATGTGTTATCACGCAATTTCTCACCCTGTCATTCAGATTCAACCCCAGCATACCTTCTGTCGACATACCGACGTTTTCCCACGAAATATTGGCACGGCCGGCATATAAAGCATCACCAGTGCTATCGTCTGCATAGCAATTAATGCTACCGATTTGCAACATGTCATTGATATGCAGAAGAAACAGCGTTGGTAATTTAATTATTTTAATTTAAAATTAGAACGCAGCCTTGTGGAATAACAGCGTTAATGGGCTTGTAATCGGAACATGCACCGTCTACTACGACCTTGATGCTCCGATTAGCAAGAAAACTGGTGATCCAATTGCACAATTTCTCGGGAAGCCCATAGAAAGGAAGCTTCGTAAGAAGCGCTTTGTGCCATTCCCGATCGAAGGCCTTCGCTATGTCCAAACTAATGGCCGGCTCCCCCTTGGACTCTACTGCCTTCGTCCGTTTATGAGTTAGGTAACCCAGGAGATCACCAGCCGAGCGACCGCTACGGATACCGTACAGGCAGTCACTAATCAGCTGGTGATCCTCAAGGCACCGTATGAGCTGGCTGTTAATAATAGATTCCATTATTTTAGAGAACAAGGGGGTGATGGCGATAGGCCTATAGTTGGACGGATCAGAGCGATTACCTTATTTAGGGATCGGGTGCATGAAGGCTGTCTTCCATGATTTTTGGACTACGCGTAGGGAGTAGGAGTACCGGAAAAGGCGCGTTAGGACCGGTGCCAACTCCGGAGCACACGTCTTCAGCACAATAGGGGGGACGCCATCGGGCCCACTCGACTTGTTGATGTCCAGGGAGAGGAGTGCTCTGCGCAGGATAAACGGCACATCCTGCATGGATCACTCACACTGCGGGATGTTCGGCGGTGTGTTCCCCCCGCCATAAAGACTTGAGTTGGATGCAAAGAGAGAGCCCAGTAATTCGGCTTTGTCCTTTGCGGCATGGGCCAGTGATTCAACCTCCCTGTGCAGAGATGGAAGAGATGACTGGCAGAAGTTCCCTTGGACAGCCTTGGCGAGAGACCAGAATGCACGTGTTCACGAAGGAAGACGAACAAGTTTCTCGCCAATTCTGCTGATGTGCTCTGACTTTGCCTTGACAGACACACAAGCCAACAGTCCTCCAATCGTTTGCGAAAAGATTGCAGTTAGTAAGCAACTCTTCAAGGAGAGGCGTTGAACAGTCCAGAAATATTATTATTGCTTTATACAACGATGGACGGGTCAAGAAGAGAAACCGAGAATACTGGGTGGTGCATCTTATATGCCGTGACAGACGACGGAACGGACGGAAAATTTTACACGATTCATTTAAATCGGCCAACTAAACAATCCGCGTGCGTACGCGCGTCGAAGAGCGCCATAATGTAGCTGTTGGCCGATAGCTGACCAACAGTTTAGTTTGAAGGGAAGAGCGCCATACTGATTTCGCTGTTGGCCGACAGCTGACCAACAGTTTAGTTTGAAGGGAAGAGCGCCATACTGATTTCGCTGTTGGCCGACAGCTGACCAACAGTTTAGTTTGAAGGGAAGAGCGCCATACTGATTTAGCTGTTGGCCGATAACTGACCAGCAGTTTAGTTTGAAGGGAAGAGCGCCATACTGATTTAGCTGTTGGCCGATAGCTGACCAACAGTTTAGTTTGAAGGGAAGAGCGCCATACTGATTTAGCTGTTGGCCGATAGCTGATCAACAGTTTAGTTTGAAGGGAAGTGCGCCATACTGATTTAGCTGGTGGCCGATAGCTGACCAACAGTTTAGTTTGAAGGGAAGAGCGCCATACTGATTTAGCTGTTGGCCAATAGCTGATCAACAGTTTAGTTTGAAGGGAAGAGCGCCATACTGATTTCGCTGTTGGCCGATAGCTGACCAACAGTTTAGTTTGAAGGGAAGAGCGCCATACTGATTTAGCTGTTGGCCGACAGCTGACCAACAGTTTAGTTTGAAGGGAAGAGCGCCATACTGATTTCGCTGTTGGCCGACAGCTGACCAACAGTTTAGTTTGAAGGGAAGAGCGCCATACTGATTTCGCTGTTGGCCGACAGCTGACCAACAGTTTAGTTTGAAGGGAAGAGCGCCATACTGATTTAGCTATTGGCCGATAACTGACCAACAGTTTAGTTTGAAGGGAAGAGCGCCATACTGATTTAGCTGTTGGCCGATAGCTGACTAACAGTTTAGTTTGAAGGGAAGAGCGCCATACTGATTTCGCTGTTGGCCGACAGCTGACCAACAGTTTAGTTTGAAGGGAAGAGCGCCATACTGATTTAGCTATTGGCCGATAACTGACCAACAGTTTAGTTTGAAGGGAAGAGCGCCATACTGATTTAGCTGTTGGCCGATAGCTGACCAACAGTTTAGTTTGAAGGGAATCGTGCAGCCCATCAAACTGATTATATAGCCGATAACTTAATACTTATTGAGAAACCGGCTAAACTCTCGCCCGATAGGAAGTCTGCAGTGTGCAGTGTCTGTTCTTAAACAGAAAAAATAAAAGGTGACTTTTTCTCCATTTTCGTATGAATTTTAGCTTTGTGCGCATGTGCTTCTCCATGAAAACTTTAACTATGCCAAATCTCACATCAACTCACACTCTTACCCTAAGGGGTAAAAGAATTCCCTTTATGTATTAATTATACAGATGATAGATGTATGAAAGTACACTAAGCGTCAGCAAAGCCAACTACGATTCCCACCGGTGCTGTCGAAACGCACTTCAATTCGTTTCTGGTCATGGGTCAGACGTTGGCAGGCGGGTTAGTAATCGCAGTTAAAGTTGTTCAAAACGACTATAAATCAATAGCACGCTACAGACTATAAACTATAAATTTCTAGCGCGCTATTAAATACGCTATGTTATAGCGCGCTATTTATAAGAAAGCGTGTAGGAGGCAGGTAAGCGCGTTAAGTTTTACAGCACTTTACATTATATGTCGTTCATTGGATAGATCGCGTGCTATATAAGAACATTATTTCATAAGTCGCATTTTAGACTAAAATAAAATAAAGCGGTAAAGAAAAACCAATGCACGCGTTTTCATACTTTTCAGGCTCACTAATTTCTATAATCCTAAAAATATTTTTAAGTTATGTACTATTTAAAATAGAATTAATTTTATTTTTAGAATCGAAATAAAATTAATTATTTTTTATTATAATTGATGTAAATATTATTTTAACCTTAATATAAATTATAAATCAAACAAAGGTGTATTTAAAAGTTTATTTATTGAATTTATAACAATCAATTATTTACATACACTATTATATACACTTTTGTATCTATATTTAATTTACATTTAAAAACATTAGTTAGGCTTCTTTTATCACAACTGTGTCCTTTGATCATTTATAAATATACAGTATACACTAACTAAACAACGTCTAACATTAAATTAGATCGCGCGCGATGAATAGCGAGCCACGAAATCAAATTTTCATCACACGTCCTCTCCCAACAGCGCTGCTGCTAGAACTAATTGCCGCTAGATATTAATACTTGATAGCGCCAAAGCGACTACTTACATAACACGCGCTATGTGTTGTGAAGAGATAGCGCGCTATAATATGGCGCTATGCGCTATATTAACCAACATTGATCGCAGTACCAGACATTTTGCACATTTACATATAAGTACGACTTGGTGATAATTATGAGTCCAAAAAATTTTTTTACTATTAAATAGATACAAGGGCGTTCTCTGCTCATTTTTTTTACAATATACTCTATATATCTATACATACAAGTGAAATTAAAGTGTGTAATATCGAAACAACTGCTTTATATCGAGCTAATCTATTTGCATGCCATTAAGACATGAATAACCATATTTTTTAATTCTCTCTGTCGGCTGAACCGTCATGATATATAATGAAAATTCATGAGGATAGTAGGATAGTCTATATTTTGTCCGAAAAAATTTAAGTTTTTTTTTTTGGAAAATGAAAAATTCAAAAAAAGAAACTCTATCTGTGACAGTTTAATCACAAGCCATTCGAAGATTAGCACGGTACAGACAGACAAACATTTTAAAGAATCGTTATTGATGTCTCATATTACAGACATACACTTCAATTTTATTTATTTGTACAGATTTATATATTTAACTTGATACTCGTATCTTACTCTTGTGAATATCGATGTTTTAGTATTACCTGTTTAAGTTATAGCAATAGACATTTGATACATAATTTCGTTTGTACAGAGAAAGCGGCTAAAGGCGCAGAGGGGACAATGCGTGGAGTGTTTCGCGACATCGTTCAGCGGGAAGGGGTTCGAGGGCTATACAGGGGAATTACGCCCAACTTTATTAAAGTGATACCTGCGGTCTCAATTTCCTACGTGGTGTATGAGTACGCGAGCCGATCGCTAGGTGTTAACATGACGTGATCACGGCAACACATTAGTTTTACAACTTTAGAAAAACTGCGCTAGTACCAGAAGGAACATCTTCGTCTTCAGTGTGCCGCTCGAGCCCTTACCTCATTACATTCTTTTCTAAGCATCTTAGCAAATTTGCATTTGATTGTATATAGCTCTCGTGTATAATAAGTTTACTATTTATTGTGGTTTTTAATATTTAACGATTTCGAATAGATTTCCCTAAACATTACTTAGGATTTTAATGGTGGAGAAAAATTGTAATGTCAATTCGCTTAATGGTTGCATTTGTTACATATTAAATGGTATTATTGTTTTGTCCGTGTTTGTTACGCGCCGGCCTATGCTGGATTTACATCTGTGATTACATTAAATTATGTTTTTTTTTATTTGATTTATTTTTCCTTCCGCCTTTACGAAACAAATGGCGAGCCTTGGTTTAAATTATTTAAGCTTAGGTATGATTAACATTCATGACATATTGATTTTGAGTATGTTCTAAAATAGAACCCAGTGTACAGTCCAATGCAAATGACGTCATGAATCGACGCTATATTGTACTGGCGTGCCGCCGCCATATTGCGTCGGATATCCGGCCACAATAAAACAATTTTTAATTGTGTGTGCGCTGAATGAAGCATGCCAGAATTTGTTTTTATTTATTCAAATACAAAAAATTATAGAATAATTGCTGGTATCTCCATTAGGAAGATATAATGATTTATGGAGCACAAAATGACAAAATAATCGCCAACACTTTTCCAATACGGCGTAAATGTATAACGTCATATACTGTCCTATGTTTTGAAACGAATCACCAGTATAGCGTCGATTCATGACTTCATTTGTATTTGCCAGTGTACTGGGTTGCATTTCGGAACATACCCATTGTTTCGTAAAATAGTAGCGTTAGAAACAATTAAAATATATAGAATTTTGAGACTAATATGTTACTGAATACATAAAAATTATACAAAACTCTTGTCAAGATTAAACCAAATTCGTGAGATATACTTATAGCGAGCTGTGTTAAAATAATAAGAGCACGTAAAATAGATAAGGTTTTGAGCAATAAACATGTTAAGTGACAGCGGTATAAAATATTATGAACACATATTTTATTGCCTTTTTAATGTCAATGGATATAACAGAGTAACTTGAATGTTTCGTTTTTTATTTGTTTAAATTAATTTAAAATCAAGTTAAAAAAAGAAATATTTTTCTTTTTTTCTATTTGTTAACCATTATTGTCCTACTACATTGAAATAATATGTACTTACGTACTAGAACAGCTATCTCAAACAAAAAATGTGCGCTACTCTGTGTTCGCGCGGTTGTTTTTTTATCATAGAATAAACATAAGTAGAATGACCCGTAGGTAATAGTAGATTGTATTGTTAAATAGGTAAATTATATCGAGAACAATATTTAAATTTTGTCATTTATTTTGTATAATATTTAATATAATATTACATGGTATTATATCACAATTACATTTTAATGATATTTTTATCTGAATATTTTAAAATTTATCTAAGTCAAATATAAAAACATACTAAATGTATGTTTAACAAAACTTATTAACCTAACATTTAAATTACAAATATATTTCTTTTAAATTAGAATAAAAGTCGTTCATAAATGCTGGGCACGTGAGAGTTAAAATTGTACGAATTTATACCACTTTGACTTTGATGTGGAAACCTAAAAATAAAATAAAAGAATAATAAGCAGATTTAAACATTAAAATTTTTGCCAAACTATAATAACTTATATATGTCTCTACAAAAAAATATGTATAATAAATATATTATTCATCCTATACTTAAGTACCCACAGAAATGTCGCATCTGAACATATTAATTTCATATTCTATATTCCCTGACACGGGATGGCGTCCTAGGAATAATTTGTTTTATTATTAATACATAATACTTTTTATTAATTAAGTATCTTATTATCCGATGAAAAGTAATTCCTTGCTTTTTACTGATATTTCTTGAATTATTTGTGCAATATCTAAGTACAAAAAAAGTAAAAGATTTTTTTTAAATCAACACACCACGTTACAAATCTATAAGCACCTAGCGAGTGACTGATGCGGTGAAGTGCGGTGTATGCACCGCAGTTGAGTGGAACAGTGTAGCTGAATGCAGTGTCGCCTCTAGTACGTAGTACATATTAGCTCAATGTCCTACTATTTTGTTAAAATTTTCAAATATAGCTTTCTTTTGGAAAAACAAACGATCACATAACACAAGATCAGAATTTAAAATAGCATGTTTGTATTGATGCTACTAAAAAACTATGTTTTTTTTTTCATTTAACATATTATTTATGTAATTCAAATGTTGTATTATTTGCTACTGTTCAATTTTGAAAAAAAAAATCATTGAGATGTCACAACAAGTTCTATAAATATTTTATTTTAATTTTCAATATAAGTATATCTGAAGTAAAGTTGGATTTCAAATATCATTCTATTGAATATAAATACTAAAGTTTACAATTATTTTTAAGAAATACCATTTGATACTTCAGTGCTACAGAATGTATAAATTTTAAACGTGTTCCATTTTGGCTTACAGAAGCCTATTAAAATTTATATTAATAATAATAATAATAACTCTTTTATTTCAGACATAGATCCATATTACATAATATATTAGAAATTGACATAAATCGCTTTATAATTACTAGTTTAAGTAAAATCTTTAATATTAAAAGTATATTAACAATAATATTTCCTTAAAATCGTAACTATTGTAAAAGATATTTCTCAATCTTTCAAAGTAAAATATTAGCCCTAATATAATACTTATTTAAAAGGGATTTTAGATAGGTAGTAAAAAATTTGCTTGTCATATTTATTGCATAAAATTTAGACTGCTAGGCCCGTTTTATGTATGCATTGTTGTGCTTCAGTGAGTTTTGTTGTGTCACGTCTCTACAAAGTGGAGTTAAAACTTATAAATGAAAGTGTATAACATTTTTAGACACAGGTTTTAAAAATATTTTAGTAATTGTATATTTAGAATATTTTAAGATTAACTATATAAAGATGCCTTTAAATCGGTAATTGGAAGCAGTGCTTTAGCTGGTGCCACGTGCTTCTACGTTTCCGTACCTCATATTGGAAAGTGAAATTATATTATCACTAATTTAATAGAATTCAATAATTGACTATATTGTATTGGTTATATGAAACTCAAATTAATAATATTGAATTATTGATATTTAATAGTATTAAGAGTAATTGTCCACTTGTTATGTCGCATTAAATTACATCTACCTGACCTCTATATTTATCCGTTATTTTTTAATATTTCATCTAACAAGTAATTAACAACGTAAGGTCAGTCACATTTGAAGTAGAACAATAATTATTAATTCGAAAGCTTCTTTGCATTTAATGCGTACTATACTTGTATAACCATTTTTTACACATCGTATGCCTTATGAATACAACAAACTTCCGAAACTAAGCAATTGTTAAATGTGTATATTGGTTAGTTTTTATGTAACTCATTATTTTGTTGAATTGTGTGTTATTGCCCACTGTGTATTAAAATATTGCCAGTTGAAATGTACCTCATTAAAAAAATTCCCACATATTTACTTTTTCGGTTTAATAATATTAAGTACCTCAAACTACACAATGTTACAAACAAAAAGGCTACATCTTTACATCTTCGAGTATATTAAAGTTTGATTTGAATAAGAAATGAACTATATAAAAGGATAAAACAAATAATATTAAGAATACAGTCCATCCTCTCACATTTAATACCATACAAAACATCGATCTACCATCTAAGTCCTCAAAGTACCTAATAAGCCAGCAGTTTATACTCTATTATTTAGTCGAAAAACGAAGCAATGGCGACAGACCTGTAAGTTGGACTGGTCTAATAAGTCGCCTTTTTTAGGGATCGGGTGCACTATAACGGTCTTTTATGAGTTCAAGATTACGCCTAGGGAGTAATAGTACCGAAACAGACGCGTTGTAACTGGTACCAACTCCAAAGCACATAATTGGTTGCCGTCCAGGGAGAGTAGTGCCTTACACGCTGAGCTATGGAGTGTTATGGAGTGTAGAAGTAAGGAGTACCAACACCCATAGTAGAACAGTTGAAAAAGTGGCCATCTGTAAGCAGTAAATAACAGCTCAAAAACTCCACAACAGCGCTGGAGTAGCTACTGGGATGAAATGAACTTAGCCGTTGTCGAAGGTTTAAGTGTGCTGCTAAACTGCTCAGTAGCTCCAAAATCTAAAATAATTTTATTTAGTGAATATAACTTCGAAAAAGTCGTCTATCCCACTAATATTTTTCGGTGGGTTCTATAAAATTTACCCCGTAGTTATAGTGGAGCCACCCTTATTTAATAGTTTTTATGGACACTTTTTAATACACAGTCTTTACTCCTCACTTCTACACTCCATACACTGAGCGCTGTGTGAACCACACATTCGGCATGAAACATTCACATTGCGGGATGTTCGGCGGTGTGTTTTCTCTACTATCAAGAGTAGAATTGGACGTAAAGAGAGAGTCTGAAAGATCAGATTTCTCCTCTACGATATGGGCCGATAACCATTCTTCCAGAGAGAGATGACTGACTGAAATTCCCTTGGACAGCCTAGCCGAGAGATCAGTAATGCATGGGTTCCCCAAGGAAAGCGAACTAGTTTCCCGCGAATTCTGCCTATGTGCTCTGACTTGTTGCTGCCCGTCGCCGGTATGGGTATTTTACGTCTTTTTATAGACTAAATGTGACAAACGAGCATACAGTCCACCTGATGGTAATTGGATGCTGTGGCCCATAGACATATACATCTATCCCAAGGTTAATATATTTTAAATTCTTTCAAAAGACCTGGCGGCAAAAGCGCTTACCGGACGTTAATGCGTCAGCCTAAGGTTGGTAACACTCCTGCTTATAGCACCATGCTTTGGGGGAGAGGGGTTACTGGTTAGCTGCATTGAAACGCAGATGTAACAAATACT